GAAAAAGAGTGGCGTGGCGGACGGTCGTTAACCATAGGCTTATTGCACTAACAATAAGTTATGCCATCGAATCACATCAGTACTTTAGAGCTAAGTACAAATTCCTCTGTCTGGTCTTGTCACTCGTTGCAGAATTCATGGATTTCGATCACCTTCATAGCGACCGTTTTTTTATCATTAAAAGTCGTAGTTGCATGGTTTCTAGGGATGGGAGACTTAAAAACCAGCAGGCATTTTAAACGCCGCAACGGTTAACACTGGACACAAGCCAAAATGACCTTTCACTCGAACTCTCCTTCTCTAGGGCTTAGCCCCGAGTACAGTAAGTGGCTTCACTCCGTGTCCTCTCACCCCTCGCGAACATTAGCCCTACTTCTTCATCTGTTTGACTATTTACCGAGTCAGCTCAATAAGTTCAGTAAAGGCTCAATTCACCATCAGGGAATTTGATATCAAAGTAGAAAAAAGCAAATCAGATTTTTCGCATAAAGTTTATTTAAAGGCAAAGTTCGGGCCCACGTAAGAAGCTCTTCCCCATGGTAAACCCAGTGTTGATACCTGCAAAACGCAAAGGTAACTTCACCCTTTTTACGATCAAAACGCGTCACTTAGGACGCCGGGCGCCTGGACTTCTACCAGCCCGACCAAAACTTAAAGCAACAGTCCCAGCAGGGTGGGCGTGGTCGGAAACGACTGCAATCCCTCGGCCGATTCCGACCACGCCCACTTCAGCTCCCTCCCTAGCGGCTTTCCAAGGTGAGTTTTTGTTCAGTCACACTTCCTTACGTTCTTGACTAGGGGCTGAACAGCTCCGAAGTGGGAATCGGCCGAGGGGATTGCAGCCGTTTCCGACCACGCCCACCCTGCTGGGACTGTTGCTTTAACATTTGTCCGCCCACCGTTCGATATCTTGTCTGCGTCGCCACGTTGATCTGCTATGCTCTCTTTCTCGACTTCTCTACCGCTCTCCGCGCTCACATTATCTCTCATCTCCCTGCCTGTCTTTTGAACTTCTCACAGCATAGAGCAAAATGCTCGTATTTCCTGTGTATTTCAGGATTTTCTTTCCTTTTTTCTCCACTGGCGGTCCACCTCCCACCCCTACTTTCACATTTGAGTGGAATCAACCCATCAATTTAATCCTGATTCTTGCCTTTAAATCGCTCCTTATGCTGATATGTTGCTGAAAACAAAGCTTACCGCAAGAGTGCTGAGTTATGGAAAAAGGACGGGAACTGCACCAGCCTCCAATTTTTCGGGCAATCATGTTGCCAGTCACATTCCCCCGGCACCGTTACAGCCTGAAGGCACACCACCAAGGCGTTCATGTTAGTGAGTGAAATGCTGCGAACAATCCGAAAATGAGTAAAGTCCAGAGAGGATGCTTGAGAGGCGTACGAAAGGATGTTCCGCTATTTCACGTCGTAGTTCATGATGTGAAAGCTATCACAAAAAAAAGCAAAAAAAGACCAAGAATGCTGGTTATGCTTTGCTGCCCACCATACGCGAGCACGAATTGACATAACTTTCGAATTGCGAAGTGTGCCGCAAATCAGCAGTCAACACAGCAAAATATGTACAACAAGCATACTCATCAAAACCCCCTCCCCTTCCCTCCTCCTCCTCCCCTAAAAAGGAAAAAACAGCAAAACTGAAAAAAGCGAATGACGGCCAGTAACCTTCCCAGTACCGATTGCTTTCGTTTACCCCTTCGCAAACTTCTGATTGAACTGAAACTGACAACAGAGAGCTGCCATTGTGGTCTACTACCACAGCGAAGCTACAACTTATGTGCCCAGTGAGGGTTAGCAGCTGATAGGATTAATCCAATTCAGATAAATACATTATTTGAAGACAACCCGTTGCCTTAGATTGATTTGGCCGGTCCCATTTTTCGGCAATTCCTTGGCAAGGTAATCACTATGCCTCCGACACCATACTACTACGATATATAAACCAGAGTTTGCTTGTCTGACCGCTCCCCACAAATGCTCAAGTGCTCCCCACATGTTTGTAATTGTTGCTTCAATCACCTAAGAATAAGCGGGTCAAATTTGGACTGCGTAGAGCATGAGCCACTCTAAATATATGGGCGCATATATGGACGTTAAGAAACTCCGCCTCAGAGCGGGCGAACGGCTTCCAAATTGGGCGACAGTCGGTTGAAATAATTGTTGTTTTCGCTTCCAGATCTTCCCAGAAGGCCGGGACAAATAAGGCCTCAAGGCAGGGCATTCCGCCACTTATACGGGCACTACATGGACCACAAAGAATTTTGGGGTTCATGTATGCTCCGTATGGAGATGGCTCCATTGCTCTAACCCATTTCCTAATCTGACCCGCCCTCCTCACCGGTTTTTGAAGCAACAATTGCAAACTTGTGAGTAGAAACTCAAGCCAAAGCGATGGCGATTTCGGAGAAATGTGTCGTCCTCCAGACTACTCAGAATACCGTCCAACCAGCATGACGATGGGTGGCTTACGACCACAAATTCGGCGTAGGCCTAACGCCAGGAAAACTTGTGTGGCTCCCTGTTGAAGCAAGAACGACCAGCTAACTCCTTCAACTTCAATGTAGCGAATTATTGCATGCGGTCAATATTTACAGATTGACAACCGCCGTTAAGCAAACTTTGCAGGCATGTTTTGTCATCAGTAGTCATTTTCTCTTCAAAATTTTCGAATATAGCCAATCCACTACGTTGTTTTCCGGACTCAAAAGTGTATGCCGAGCTGCTTCGAAATACGAAAAAATGCCACATAAATTGGACGAAGGAAGTATCCTCTGTGTGAACTGTGACCCACGTTGCCGTCAATGGGTTGAAATCTGAAGGTCTGCGCACAGCAAAATAGTTTGAAGACTAGAGTCGCTACTCCTCGCCATACCTTGAGAACCGAAATTCAGAAAGATTTCGTGGCAGGCGTGCTGGCGATGTAAGGTTTGTTTAAGGGTTATCATGCTCGCCGAAGGCCACGAATGGAATTTTTCTATATTCACTGCGGACGGTTTAATGCTGCCATAGGTGGTTTGAAATGCCACTTTGATCTACTCTATTTGGAAATCGGAGGGCCAATACCATTGATCAATCATATTTATGCCTCAGGGCGGAAGTGGTGTAGTGACAAGTGGCGCGCTTACCACGCGAGCGGTCCGGGGATCAAATCCTGGGTCGTGAGTCGCCCGGGCCAACCAAGCCTTCCATCCCTCCGGGGTCGGTTAATTGGTACCAGACTTGTCTGGGAGGATAAAAACACTGACTTGTACATCGGCTGGCCCCCGCAAGTCATTGTATAGGCCACATCGCATTCAAACGCCACTACGAATGTACAAATGGAAGTAGAATGCGTGCCGCATCCCAAAAAGGGATTGATCAACGGCAAATGCTTTATCCTTTATCCTTTATTCATGCCCCATCCTGTCCTTTTGATAAACTCACCAGTCTTAGATGAAATCGCTTCAAAATGAAGCAAATGATTCAAAATGATAAGGAAGTGATGGCTAGTACAATAACTAAAATGGAAAGGGTAACCCAAAAAAATGCTGAAGAAATGGCTATAACTGCTACGAAAAACTGCACACTAGCCTCCTACACTAAAGTTTCCGAAAGGCTACAGGAACCGCCGCCTCCCCTCCCCACCCCATTAGCGCACGTTAATAACAGCTCGAAATGAGTACCTCAAAACGGATCAAGTTTGGTACTTTTACTGAGCTGATTTGTGCTTGGGCATAGAATAGAAGGCACTTATCCACAATCATTGATATCGACTTCTACCAAGTATGAACCCTCATCACTAGCTGCTACTAAAGTTCAAACTAACTTCTGGTGTGCGCTCTAGCTCACTAGTCATTATGCCCTAATAACATTAGCATAAGCAAAAGAGATCAAATGGAGATAGGAAAACACTAGCTTTGGAAAAAAATGTTACTATAACTGGTTTTTTCCAGCCATCTCGCTCCATCACTAAGCTGCCAAATGAAATAACGTTGTTCGTCGAGAATGTGGATGAAGAAGCACAATATTTGAAGTCAAAAGCAAAAGCTGAAACCGAGCAGCTGATGCTACAAACGCAAAGGTACTCCGGATGAAACGACCGTCAGATTTAATCACAGTTCTACTTAATAAAACTCTTATAAGTTCGCCTGTTTACCGTTTGAAACATGAGTAAAAAGCCAACATCTAGCACAACAGGGAAATGCAAGAAACCAACCCTCCCGAGAACACTGTACATATTTCACCAGGTCGAGAGCCCTAGAAACAAATGCTGTCCTTTTTCTCTCACCTACCTTTCTTCTCCTCCCTATACGATCAGAAATAGCGAGAAGGAAATTCGAAGTTGGGAATCATATGACACAAATGGACTTTCAATCATGTAAGAAAGATTAAATTAAATACTTTATCATGCGAATAGTTTGCTGGAGTCAGAACAACCTCCCTTTTGAAATAGAACCCGTTTTTCTAAAAATCGGTCATCTTCTTCCGATGGAAAGACACCTCCTCAATAGAAACCTCTTTCGATAATTGTTCATCTTTTTTTCAATGTACAATCGATGTTGGACAACAAGAAAAATGAAAAGAAAAACATCAAGGAACCATTTTCACACCGAAATACCAATCAGAGAAGAAAGAGAAACATTTTGCCAGAATAAACAACTGAAGTATAGAGTCGTTGTGACTAGGCATTTTTGAGACAAAAACAAATCTTGAAAAAATTTATATTTTTATTATTAAATATAGAACAACGTGTTTTCATACAAACAGTCACCAACACAAATATTGTACAGTGGTGAAGCTAAAATAACAAACATTACATCGGATTCTACCCGAACTTTCTATGGAAACAACTTAAATATGTCAAGCTGCACGTAGATAATATCTCTCAGGTTTCAAAACTAGAGAAAAACAATGAAAACTTTGTGAAGTGGAGCCCTAGTAATGATAAACTTAAACGAGAAACTACACTCCCCACAATACACAGTAACAGGTACCAGTGACACACTGCTAACCAACTCCAGCCAATTGAAGCAGTTCCTCCATACCGACTGGTCGCCATGAGAAAGATTGCGTGTCCATGACATAAACAATATTTCGATCCAAATAAATAGACTGCGTTCCGAACCAATACACCTGAAATCCAGTGATGAAGATCACGATGCAAGACATGCTCACTGAGTAAAAGCGAAGGAGTATTCGAGGTGATAAGTGAAGACTGGTACCGATATACTTGCTGCCGAACTTTGGTAGGCCCAGAGCTCGTAATTTTGAAGATTAGATGTTTGGTGCAAAGTCAATAACTTCGCTGACATATGCAAATTTAGTGAAGATCTCCGAGTATCCAAGACCTAAGCGACTCAATGACCTTAATATCCGGTTGAGAAGCAAGCCCACAGACTGTCCTTCATGTAGTTGCGTGCTAAAGTGCTGTGTAACGTAGAATGGTCCCAAAAAGCGCTCTTTGAAATAGAACTGAACGCTGCGATGCGGTCCAAGTGCTGCAACCTTTAGAGTTATACATAGTACTCAAAATCAATGCTCTCCGCATAATTTTACCACAACACCCACGCATGGAAGAGTGAACAACAGACGTGACTTTGAAAGAACCACACTACATGAGACTTCCACGAATTAGGAAACTGCTGCTTTTTGTGGGTCGCTATTCTACAACTGCCCGATTTGTCTCAAGATAATAGGGTTTTGTGATTTATCCAGACGAAAAAGTTGGAAGCGCGCAGATAATAGTCAACTTAAATACCAAGAGACTGAGAGAGTTCCCCTCAATCAGGTAATTAGGATTGACTTTGTATTTATGACTCTTCACAGCAATTGTATATGTTACAATTAACGAATCGCGATATATTAAGGTGGTGTGCATGTCTTCGGAAAAAGAATAAAGAAACGCTGGTTTCGGAAAAAGATGAAGCTGTTATCGGACCTGTCTTCCTTCCTTGAGCCGATCACGTTGAGGAATGTGAGTGAGATCATGTTGAGCAGCAATTCGTTCGAGCATTTCCTTCAGTGACATGTGAGCCGATGATCGGCATTCCCAACTTTGGTCTGGAAAGTAAATTAATGTATAAATTTCATAAACTCGAACCAAATGACGCTCAACAGGTGGAAGTTAAAGGCAAAAGTCGGGCTCAATAAGGGGGTATTATGGCGATTGAAACTGAGTATAGAGATGCGAAGTGGAACGACAGTGGAGAAAAAACTGAGAAAAACCGTCGACAAGGCCGTTAACAAAACCCTCTTTCCCACTAGCAGTGAAGGAGGCTGGCTTGGGAAAGGCACGTACAAACAAGTTTTCTGAAGATATCAGTCGTTCTATCGGTTGATACGGCAATCAACCTAGCTGATTTCACACGTTATGCCAGCCATGCACCACATCCCGAGGTGGGCGGTCGTAGCGGGGCTAGGCGGCGATAGCGCATAGTACGTGCCCTGGGGCCTTATTACCGCGTCGTTCGAGATTTTGAGCGTGGGAACATCTGTACGGGTGCGTAACCAAGTACAGACATGAACCGAAAAGGGTTGGTTAGGTCAACTAATCCCGACCTTTGCCTTTAACAAAGTAATCAAGAGACGGTAATAGGAAATAAGAGTAGAAAAACGTATGATTTTTCATTCGACCAGTGCGGATGGGATTGCAAACGATCGTAACTAGCTGTGTTTGGGATCTATAGCATACATTATACGAAGTTATACGAAAAGCAATGAAGCCACCAGCTTCGAACTTCGAAAGTAACAAACACCCTTGAGTTAAACTTTAATTACGGAAGGCGTAATTGCACGCTTAAAAAACAAAACTGTGAATATCCTGTTGTTTGCTGGAGGAGTAAAAATCAGCGCAAAGGGATTCAGTTTTTATACTGTCGCACGTGATAAAAAAAAAGTCGCTTCCTATTTTAACCACACAGTCATAAATGGACACGCTCAAATAGTGGATGCGACTGGTTCTGAAGCAGGAATTTTTTTAATGACAATGAAATTACAACCACTCAGACACCGGTATTAGGCTTATGTATAATACGGTGGATAAAGAAGGAAAAATTGCGCATCAAGAAAACATTGGGATGACAGCTGGCATCTAATCGATCCATGCGGTCAAAGAAATTAAGGGATGAACTCAGACTTTGAACAAGTAATAAGTTAATGGCAAAACATACCGTAAAGCAGATGGTGGTGGAGGAGGAGGTGCAGATTGAGCAATGGGTGGAGGCGGAGGTCCATTAAACACCCTCAAACCTTGAGATGACTCCATTACTGCAACCATTCCTCGGCGGAGATTTTCTGTAAAGGGAAAATGAGCAATGCGCGTTCCTGTGGTAACCGGAAATGAAAAAATTCAGGAAAAATGCAGCTCACAATTTATGCCATAAACAGCTACATAGCCGAAGAGGGACAATATAGCAAAATGGGATGGTACTAACCAGGAAAGGTCATCAGGTCAACCCGACCAATTGAAATGAAATGTATATTTCTATATGCTCTGAAACCCTGAGCTTAAATCTGCTTTCCTTGCTAACCTGTTCGCTGAACGAAACTATGGTACGGAAAAGAGCAAGCTTACTCTTTTGCCAATTCCACTTGGTTCTCAGATGCCTTCACTAGAACTCTTTTTGGCCTTTTCCACCTATGGCAATTACATTTCACTGTTCTACTGCATCCTATTCTATCGATCTTTTGTCTCTATTGTCCGAAATCGAACGCTTTCATGCGATTCTCTCAATGCGTCACCTGATGCGTGACCACCCCACTTCTTTCCATGCGTTCCCGATTCCGCCCGACCTACCCGCGACCATACCCAAAATATGGTTTTTGCAGGTTTGGTTTCCTCAGAAAATAATCGTCTTACGTTAAACTCGTACGCTCTATCCAGTAATCGCAAATGATATTTTATGTTTCTAAAGTATGCAAGCATTTTCCGGGGACGATTCAATAAACACGTCGGAAACGAGCATGTTTTAC